CCCATTCCCACCTCCTCCAAGGCAAGGACTCCCCTGAGGACTGAGATCAACCTGGTAGATTCAGTTCAGGCAGGTCCAGTCCCCTCCTCCCAGGCAGAGCAAAGTGTCCCTGCATAAGCTCCACGTTCCAAACAGCCAGCTCATGCACTGAGGACAGGTCCAGGTCCCACTGCCTGGGGGCCTCCCGAACAGTTCAAGCTAATCAATAAATTCTTTAAAAGTGTATAGTTTCAACTGTTTGTAAACTCCGTGCTCTAATTAAATTCAAGGACCTATAAGATATTCTTCATGCTTTTGTTCATCCACTTGTTCCTTTTGAGTGGAATGTCCGTCTTCCCCCCCCCCCACCATATCCGCGTCTCAACCCTTCAAATCTCTGCTCAAATGTCCCCTCCTCCACAAAGCCTTTTCTGACCCCTCTGTTCCTGATAAACTTAAGTCACTCCTCTTCTGTCTCCTACAGCACTCATGTACATCTCTGCTCATACATCACTCCCTACATGGTTGGTACAGAAACTGTAAACCTTTTCACATGGTCTGTCACACCTATTAATAATGTGGATCTGGATTCTATCCATTTTCTACCTATCTCGGTTACTTTGTGCATAATGGGCGTTTAATACATGTTTATCAAATGAGTGATCCCCTAAAAATTAATTCAGAAGTAGAGAAAACCGTAGAAGGAAAAGCCAAAATGGAAGTTTTGGATTACCAGTTAACACTCTGATGTTCCTTTTCCCTATTAATATTTGTGACTTGGTTTTAAAAAAAAATCTCTGTATGTGTATGTATATAATATACCCATATTTGAATTCATGATAGTAATCTTAGGCCAGGTCTATTTTTTTAATTTAATGCTTTAAAAAAATCATACAGTGAGCTGAGTGTAGTGGCACATGACCGTAATCCTCGCATTAGAAGGCAGACACAGACAGATCTCCGTGTGCTGAAGGGTAGCCTGATCTACACAGCAAATTTCAGCTCAGCTTGGCTACGTAGTGAGACCCTGTCTCAAAAAAACCAAAAAGAAAGAAAAACAAAAGAAAATCATATAAAGTCGTTGATGTAGCTTAGTGGCAGAGCACTTGCTTAGCATTCATGAGGCTCTGGGTTCAATTCCTAGCATCACAAAAAAAAAAGGAAAAAGACAAATCATGTATTTCAAAATTAAATTACAAATTGAAAATGCTGTTGTTTTCTCTCCTTTGTCTTTTTCAAATAAGCTACATGCATATAGATCTCATTGCACTATTCGAAGGTTCACTGTAGACATACTGAAAACCCTAAAAGGTAGAGAGTCTCCTCAGCCTGGAAATTCAAACTATATCAATGCCGCTTTCCTCCTGAACTTTCTAGATTGCAATCAGTAACCTACTATATAACATTTTGGGTTATAGCCAAACTAATCATCCAAATTCTCCATCACCTTCCAAATAACTCTTCTGGCTCTTCCCATCCCTCACCGACATCATTACAAAAACAAGTCTCATGGCCACAGCGATGGCTTACGTACCCACTGGGGTTCGTTCATTCATGTAGCTTCGAAGCCATTTTCAAGATTTTTGTTCTGTGCTAACTAGCCCCATAAATCTGTCTCCCTTTTTCGGGTTTTTGAAATATTTATAATGTGCTTGCTTTGTGTGCTGCTGAATTTTGGGCAGAACTGCTTTTCTTCTTCGCTTTATGAAGAGAACGTTACTGCAGAAGCTGATGCAGTCAGCTCCAAGGAATCAACCGAAAATGCTTTTTAAGCAAGCACCGGTGCACCCAGAGGTTAAGTCCTTAAGTCCTCCGGATTCATTCCAGCGGTGTGAGGGCGCTCGTGGACTACGGACCCAGCCCTCTGCAGTCTCAGGGAGCCAAATGCACTCGTGTCATCATCTCTTAAGAGATGTCCCATCATTCCTAGACTTTGTCTCTAAAGTTAAAGAAGTCGTTTCCAGATCTTTCCAACGACTCTACACGGTCCTCTGCACTGTTCCTTCGCCAGCTTGGGGCCCTCTGTCGGCCGCCAGCCGCCGTCGAACCCAACCGCCTCGGGGCCCGATATTTTTATGCATTGCTTTTTGATTATTAACTAAGAATCCTAAAGTGACTGGAACATCACGAACCAGACAGAACAAGGGCTCAGGGTCCCTACCAAACTCTTCATACACACCTCGCTTCCTGGGTTTTCTGGGCGAGATCTAGTCCCCCCCACCCCAACCACCAGCACGAGAGAACACGGTGGCCGAGGCCCCCCAGGCCGCCCCGGGCGGACCCGCCCCACGCGCCTCGTGCATTCCTCTCGCGTCCACCGCACCACGCTGGCACCGCTGCCCCTGGCTTGCGACCCGCGGCCCCGGCCCGCCCTCGCCACTCACCTAGCAGCTCCGCGATGGCACTGAAGGGTCGCGTGTGACTGCTGGAGTTGCTCTGGAGGTAGCGGGGGCTCATCTGGGGGCGAGAGAAGGTCCGGTCCCGCGTGAGGCCTCGGCCCGCCGGGCCCATCCCGCGCGCCCCCCGCAGCCCCGGGGACCCGCGCACGCTCGCGGGAGTCCGTCCCCTCGGGGGCCCCCCAGACCTACCGTGCTCAGGCGGATCCCGAAGGCCTGCGGGACGCTGCCCGGCCGGGCCAGTCCGCCGCCCGGCGCGCCGGGGCCCACGGGGGCCCCTCGGTACAGGAGCATTTTTTTGGCCGCCAGGATAGTCGTTTGCCGCTGCCGGACCCTTCGGCCGGCTGTCCCGCACTAGATCGAGCTGTCCCCCGACTCGCAGCTGGCGGTGGCCGTCCCGGACTGGCCCTCCCTGGTTCCCACTCGCAGCTGGCGGAGGCGGGGCGCGCTGCAGCCACCTGTCCTCAGCGGGAGGGGTAAAGCCGGAGAAGCCCAGCGTCTGCCCCGCCTTGTCAGCACCTCTCCTGACCCACGGACTGCCGGGGCTGCCCCACGGCCGTACAGAAATATGGCGATCTCCTGACAGACGCTCCTCCATCCCCGCCCCTAATTAATTCTTGGCGTTTGCCATAGGCCAGACGGCCGAGCGGGAAAAGCGCGAGGGGAGGGGGGGATGGCGGTGCGTGGGGAGGGGCGGGAATGTGGCAAGAGGAGGGAGAGCGTGCATGGGATTTCTGGAGTCCCACTTAGGCTGCATGACTAACAGGCAGGATAAGACAAGTCTTTCAAGTTTGAAGGACTGCAGTTTTGCTATCTGGGAAGATAGCAGACTGGAGCCAAGGGAAATCATTCCAAAAGCTGCTTCGAAAGTGTATGGAAGCACCCGGAACTTTCTAGAATGCAATTGGCAAACTGCCTACCAGTCCTTCAAGCATGCAGGGAGATTTTATAAAAGGAGAAACTGAATTTACTCACTGCAAAATAGGGGATTGATTAAGTTATAGAATACATAAATTAATATACAATTTTGTGCGTTTGCACACTTGTGGTTGCACAGTGAGCGCACCACTTACATTTTAAGGCCAGACACTGAAATCTGGTGTCTCTGTGGCTGGGGTTACAAAATTGCACTACCATGCTCATGCTTGCACAGCAAACACTTTACCCAATGAGCCACACCCAAGCCCCCAATTTTTTATTTTAAAAAGTTTTTGTTACTGCACTTCATTGTTTTTTGTGTGTGTGTTTGTGTGTCTGTGTCTGTGTGCATATGTAGAGATGAGCACACAATTTTCAGGGGTAGGTTTTCACCTTCCACCATGTCATGGGGGTTTGGGGATCGAACTCAGGTGGTTAGGCCTTGGTGGCAAGCACCACTGAGCCATTTCACCTGGCCCAATATTCAACTTTTAAAGGACAAGCCTGTTGTAGATGAATCTACATTTACATATGCTGTGTTGATCAAATGAGGATGGTTAGCGTGTTGCCTTCATATACTTATTTTTTTCATATGGTGTTAGAATCAAACCCAGGTTTGATTAAGGGCACACCAGGTAAGTAACCGACCACCAAGCTGCATCCCTCATTCCTTTTTCTGCATGTGTGTACGTGTGCGTGTGGGGGGGAGGGCGGGGGTGGAAGCCATACATTGTATGTCTTCTTCATTTACTCCCCACCTTATCTTTTGCATCTGAAGCTCATCAATTTACCTAGACTGCCTAGGCCGTGTGCTCCAGGGATCTACTCCAGGCTACCCCTACCACCTCCCCACTGGGCTTACAGACACTTTCATGTGGGTGCTGGGGATCTGAACTCTCGTCCTCAGGCTGTGTGGCAAGTGCTTTACCAGCTAAGCTATTAGTGCTCTCCAGCCTCCATTTGCATGTGTTCATGTGAGGAGGTTTCATGTGTATGAGTATGAGTGCGTGCGTGCGTGCGTGCGTGCGTGCGTGCGTGCTTGTGGGGTGTGTGTGTGTGTGTAAGCCAGAGGTCAACTTTACCTTGGTTTTTTTTTTTTTTTTTTTTTTTTTGAGACAGGGCCTTTCAGTGGCCTAGAATTCACTAAGTTTAGGATGACTAGCCCGTGATCTGCCTGTTTGTGTCTCCCCAGTGTCTCGAGGATTACAAGAGGACACGGACCCTGGGTTCTTTTTTTGTTTGTTTGTTTGACTTTAGAGGATTGAACTTAGGTCCTTCTCCTTGCACAGCAAGCACTTTCTTAACGGAGCTGTTTCACAGACCCCTTTGTTTTCTTTCGCGACAGACTCATTAGTCAGCTCGGGCAGGTCTCTATCTCTCTATCTTCCTTCCTGAGCCTGTGCTTGGACATAGGGGAGGGCCGCCATGCCCAGCACTACATTTATCTCTTGTTTGTGATGAAAACACTTTGAAAAGTCCAGCTATTTAGAAATTTATGGTGCTTTATTGCTCACCGCAGACTCCTTATTGTTTGGTAGCCTACCAGAACTTATTCCTTCTAACTACATACCTGCCGCCCCATTTCTGCCGACGATTGCCTCTCTCAACTACCTCCCAGGTACCTGAATGTAAAATTCAGCCATTGTGACTAGTACTGCAATAAACGTGGAAGTGCAGATGTCTCCTCTACAGCGATTTCATTCTGTGGTAATAATGTGTTTAAATTTTTTATTTAATTTTTTTGAGGAAGCGCCATACACTTTTTCATAATGTGTCTACTAATCTGCATCCCCACCAACAGTTTGTCAAGCTTTCCTTTTCTCCACACCCATACCAGCAATTGTTATATTTATCATGTTGTCATTCTAACTACAGTGAGGTGTCATCTCACTGTGATTTTCATTTTCATTTTAGTTGTACTGAGATTTTTCTGTTTGTGTGTACTGAGATCAGACCTGGGGCATCATGCCCCATCACACTTCCACCGAACTATCTTCAGCTTCCTTTTTACCTTTTATTTTGAGATAGGGTCTCACTGAGGTGCTCAGGCTGGCCTTGAAATGACTTTGCAGCCCAAGGAGGTTGAATATGCAGTCATCCTTCCTCAGTATTCCAAGTAGCTGGGATTGCAGGCCTGTGCCATCAAGCCCTGATGAGCATTTTAAAATAACTTATGGGCTTTTTGTTGTTTTTTCGAGACATGGTTTCTCTTTGTAGCTTTGCACCTTTCCTGGAACTCACTTGGTAGCCCAGGCTGCCCTCGAGCGCACAGAGATCTGCCTGGCTCTGCCTCCCAAGTGCTTTTTTTTTTTTAGAAATTGACTTCCCCCTATAAGTTTCAGGAAACTGGGTAAGAGTTTAGATAGATAGCACACAGTTGGTGGTGAAGAGTCAATTCTTTCACGGTATAAGAATGTGCAAGTTGCCCAGGGCATCCCAGTAATGGAGGGTTTTGTGAGTAGTCACTCATGCTGGGGTAAGGCTTTTTTGCAAAGCAGCTGCATGAATCACCCACATTCCTCTAAGTAGCCCCTCACCCATGCCCCTGTAAGTAAACCCCCAAAATTCACCAAACTGAATTTGAATGGAATAATTTCTTTGATGTGCTCTTGTTCTCTCTATCTGGCACAAATAGAAAGAGACTCCACAAGTAAAGTCATGCAACAGTGTGTAACATGGTACCTTTGACTGGGAAATCAAATATGTGTATGCATTTACATCTAGACCTCTATACAACATGTGTATCCAGTCAACTCAGCATCCACGGGGGACTGGTTTCAGAACCCCGAAAACACCAAATTCTGTGTATGCTCAATTTCCTTGCATAAAATGCTGTAGCAATTGCATATAACCTACCCTTATTATCTCATATACTTTAATTTCTAGATTACTTTTAATATGTAAAGAGTGTAAATGCTATGTAAATCAATGTTGTGCTGTACTGTTTAGAAAAAGTGACAAGAAAAATTTGTACCCATTCAGTTCAAAAATATTTTTAATCTGGGGTTGGTTAAATTATAAACTACCTCAATATATGAATATATAAACTAAGTAATATAAATATATGTATAAGTAATTATAGGTGAATAGTAAATACATGTACAAAATGAAATACATGTATATAATAAAATATATAAATATTTGTATAGCTACAGTACCCATAGATACAAAAAGCTAATTGTAGAGACACAAAAAAACATATAATTCGTTGTGCTTGTCTTTTTAAAACTTATCTTTTTTTCCCCAATACACAAAAGTACAGACAACAAAATAATCTCTGTTCACATATTATTTTGGTGCAGAAATGATTAAACTCACACAGCTATACATACATACTCATAAATAAAATAAATAATTCTGTAAAAATGTCTGCTTTCGAGATGTTTTCACAGAAATGCTTATGTCTGGTGACACATCCAATTCCTTTTTCAGAGCAATCCATTCCATTTCTTCCTCCATCAACACAGCACAGCATTTGGAAAGCCTTGCCCTTCCCTTGGATTTTGTAGTCAAGCCTTGGTCATCTTTCACCAGGCTCACTAAATGCCTTCTAAGATGCATATGTGTGACCCTCCTGTCCTGCTTGCTTCTGGCCATTGGAATGTTATTGCGGAATCTGGGGTCTGTGGCCTGATAAGCATTTAGCATCCTGATTGGCAGTTGGGTCCTAAGCAATCATCAGACCCTCTCCAGCTCTCTCTGTCAGAGGTGATCCCCAGAGGCAAATGAACTGCTAAGAGTCCAGGGCCTGGCCTCTAGTGTTGCTGCCAGTAGGCAGCCCTAAGCAAGAGAGTTAAGTGGATCTATACAGATTCCATCAGTGCTGCTCCACAGGGCAATGAAAGGGCCGTGACAGGAAGTTCTACTGTGTCATCCTCAAGCAAGGCTTCTGTAGCAGCTGGCACATGAGTGAAGGAAGATGGATTCCAGAGTCCTGAGCTATTGTGAAACCCTGGGGTTTGCTACACAGAACCAGGAAGTGCTGCTGCAGGACGTGGCAGAACCTGGGAGCATCCCTGCTAGTTTTGATCCAGGGGCTTAGCTGTAGAATTTAAGTCCAGTTTCCCTCTGCTCTGGGGCCTTTGGGTCATAAGCTTTGAACTTTTTACGTGCTCTTTGCTATTTCATGCTGTTTGTACACTTTGTCAAGGTTGAATGCCTTGCCCTGCAGGAATCACACACAGAAATGCTTGGCGTTGTCACAGTGGGCTCCAGGGAGTGGATGAGTTTCTTCTATCATGTTCTGACCTATTTTCTAAGATCACATACCCTGAGTTCTTGGATGGACATGCTGAAGCCCGAAAGGTATCAGGGTGGAGATCAGCCAGGTGCCTTTGGAAAGCTGAGCATAGGAAGGCACTGGTTCCTGTCCTGACTCCACTGAACTGGCCTGTGATCTTAGAAACAGATAATCTTCCCAAGGAAGCACACTGAACCAGAGCATGTGGGCAGAAGGATGAGGGACAGACACCTGCAGGAAGTGAGAAAACAGTGCTGAACAGAGAAGGAAGTAGAACTAAGATGCAGCTTCCCTGACATTTCAGAAGACTGCATGTGCTCCAAGAGGTCATGATTTGCAACAAAGAGCTAGGCATTTATGGGCCATCTTTGAGCAGTCGATGGATACGGGCTATCACCTGAGGATG